ACAACAACAATGCGCTACATGTTTCTTTTCCCCTAATTTTTTCCCCAATTGACGGAAATCCGTCGTAGCTACGGAAAACTTGAATCCCTGCATAAACAAAATTTATTTCTAATTTAATTCAAGCACTTTCAAGGACCTATGTTTGTTTTCAAGTACTTTCCAGGTCTTGAATCCATATGTCTGAAATTCAAGTATTTTCAAGTACTTTCAAGAAGCGTGGGAACCCTGTCATACTCAGGGTTAGTGAACTAAACAAAGCTTTAACACTAAGTATTAAACTTCAAATGCAATAGTATTTATGCAGCCTGTTTATGCTGTAAATTAAGTGATCATTTTCATCTGATAAGACAACAAAACTGGTGAAATCCCCCAGACTTACACTGAACACAAATGTCTTTGGGAATTAAGCATCATCATATTTTGATATGAACTGCTTTACAGATCTGATAGATAATCAATAAAGCTGCTAAATCAGTCTGACCTGAAACAGAGATGGCACGAACTCCTGCCCGGATCCCCTCCAGCCGCTTCTCATTGTTGGCCAGTCTGTGGAGGAATGGTGCTTTACAGTTGTTTTCATGCACACAAGACATATTTATCCAATAGCTCACGTGAACATGAGAACTTCTGGATGCGTGTGTTTATTTGGCACCAGGTGCAAATATGCATGCTAACATAATTATCAAAATGATATTAAGATGATTTTGATGTACTATATGCAGCATGTGGAATCAAAACTCTTCAGTTAGCCCTCAATTAGAAGTTGGCAACACAATATTTTATAATATAAGCCTAGAAAAAAAATCATAAAATGTTGAAATAATAACAAATATAATTATATAAATATTACGCAATATTATATACAGTATATTCTATTCTAAAATGTTAACATGTTTCTTATTACTAATTTAAAACATCAGAATTTCTAATTAAACATTATTTAAAAAAAAGAAAAAAAAGTATGTTTAAAAAAAAAAAAAAATACAACATTATTTGTATCTATATTATTATTTATTAACATGTTATATAATAATATACTTTTTGCTCGCCACACTTTGATGTTAAATTAGTCTAATGATGCTCTTTAGGAAACTTCAAGGGCACCAAATAAAACAATAAAATAAAAATCGTTTTAAAATATTGAAATGTTATAAAATAAATGTTATGTTATATATATAAATGTTTTATATTAAAAGACTCCACACTTTTGATGTTAAATTAGTCTAATGATGCTCTTTAGGAAACTTCATGGGCACAAAACAAAACAAAACAAAATAGAAAAATATAATAAAAACAGAATAAAATAAAAATATAATAAAAACAAAATAAAATAAAATAAAATAAAAAAATAAAATAACAAATAAAATAAACAAATATGATCATCATATGATATGATTAAAATATTATATATATTTAGATTAATATTTATAAATGTTTCATATATTAATATATATTTTTTCCTTTAGACTATTGATGTTAAATTAGTCTAATGATGCTAACATTTTAGGGGAACTTCAAGGGCAAAAAAAATAAATAAAATAAAATAAAGCCATCATCAACAAAATTATGACAAATATACAGTGAATGTTTGATATATCATCCAGCTCTAGTCCCAGCCTTTAGTTTTGACCAGTTTTGGTGGTGTTTAAGTATTAACTGCTGGTCAAACCTCCTCTAAATGAATCTCGTGCCTGACATCAGTTTATTAAACAGCTCATGCACGGCAGTGAAGTGAATTTATGACTTACTTTGGAATGGATGGAAGAGCTCTTTCCCCCTCTGCAGGACAGAGAAACACACAGCATCAGCTCATGAATCAAACAGGAGAACACCAAGAACTGCATTTCATACTTTACTACGAGTGGACTTGTTTTCAATATGTCTTTCTATTTGTGTCTTGCTGAGACAAACAGCTGTGCTGCTTCATACTGGGATTTTCCACTCGATGCGTCTCATTCATGCTAATTCCGTGCTTTACTTCCTCTAGAACACAAACATCCCACAATGCAGCAGTGTGAGGCAGAGGTACCTTTCTGCGGTCTGACGATGAAGGACTGGCTGACGGCGTTGAGCAGGCGACAGTATCCGTCGATGAGGTCGGCCATGTTCTCAGCGGCGGCGAAGGACGGCGTGCTGATCGTGAGAGGCTACGAGAAAGAAACCAGACTCACAATGAGCCATTATCAGCAACAGCAGCCTCATCATGACGTCAGGATACAACACACACACACACACTGCTGAAGACACGCCCACAAATACCATCAGACACGCCCACAGCAGTGCTTCCAATGCTGTCTAGATTGAATGTGATGAGATAGAAATAATAACAAACACACAACACGCCATTATAGTCTAGTCTGATTCCCAAACAAATGACTCTTATGAGCTGGATCTTTAATGAATCGCTCAAAAACACTTACGATCTCACAAGTTAACATTTAAATCTGTTTTAGTATTATTGATATGCTATTTTAATATTCATCAATATTTAGAACTAGCTTTCTAGTTCTATTATTTTTTCTGTTTTCTTTGTCATTTTAGTTAAATAATAATACAATATTTAATATAAAAATGAACACTATTTCTATTTAGCTTTATTTTTTTATTTCAGTGTTAGTTGAGTAATTTTAATACTTCAATTGTATTTCAGTTAGTTGCCATGGCAAGATTTTAAATTTATTAAGTTTATATATATATATAAACATTTTTTCTTTTCAGTTTTCATTGTAATTTTAGTTTAGGTTTAAGTAATTTTGTTATGTACTTTGTCATTTTTATTAGCTTTTTTTTTTTATACTTATGTTTAGCTTTAACTTATTTTCATTTCTATTTTAGTTTTAGTAATTTTAGTACTTAACAAACTTTTTTTTCCCACGTTAGCAATACATCATTTAAAGTTTTTTTTTAATGTTTTATATTTTTATTTTCTTATTTTTAGATTTTTCAGTTTTCATTTTAATTTTAGTTAAATGCTAGTATTTTTTTATTTGATTTATTTATTTTTATTAATTTTTATATATATTATATATATTTTATATTTTATATGTTTCTGTTTAGCTTTATTTTTTCAGTTTGTTACCAAGACAACAATTATAGCTATAAAAATAGTTTAATCTAATATTTATATTTTGTTTTATTTCAGCTATATTTCAATTACCAAAAACGTTTAGTTTTTCAGTTGTAATAGTTTTAGTTAACAATAACACCACTGGTTTAAATCAGTCTAACGAATCCAGCACAGCGTCTAAAGCTGGGTAAAAACGGTGCCTAAAAGACAGACAATCAGAAAGAGAGAAAAGAAAGACTGACAAAGTACAGACAAAGACACCAAGACCCAAAATAACAGTGACGGACTGAAATTATAGTGCCGTCAGCGCAGGGCTGACACACATCTCAAACTAAACACTACATCCTACAATCACAACATCAGCTGCATTTCATTTACTTCTGAGCTGAAACTCCACGTCAAAACCAGATTTAGTTGGAGAAGCAACTTTAAACTGCAGCGTCGTTTACCTCAGCGGCTCCTGCCACGTCCAGCTGTAAGACGCCCTTCCTCTCCTTCTCCTCCACGCAGGAGTAATGGATGCTCTGCACCTGCGTGAAGTTGGCCAGATGTGTCGGCTGAAAGAAAACAGACACGCATTACTCGTGCATCACATGACAGAGAGACTAATGGGACAGATAAGCTTTTAAATTAAAGAAATTCCTCCTTATCAACTTCAAAAATCAGCCAATCAGAACATCGGCTGTTTATTTTTACTTAGGATTTTGGACCAATGAGATTTCACTGTGGGCGGAGCTACTCATAAACAGAACCAAGCCACTGAACAAAACAACTAGGGTTAAAGTAAAATAGATGTTTGTTGCTATGGTGATGTCAGTATGCGTTACCGTGGAGCCCTTGTCTGTCAGGTAACTGATTCCCTCCTCGGGACCGATAGCGAGATCCACTGATATGACCCAACTCGACTGAGACGGCGACAGAGACAGAGAGAGAGGAGCGTCAATCACAGGATCTGACTGCACACGGAATTCAGATTTAATCCGAAGAAAATAAAGCATTAAAGGTTAGCAGGGGCTAAAAAATGAACACAGAAAATAACTAGCTGTTGAGTCATTTTATAAAGGCTCCTAATTTTATCGAGAAACACTGCTTTCATTATACCACCAAAATGAAAATATGCCAAATAAACCATGATGTAATATATAATGTATTATATATTATATTATGCATTGAAGTCTGGGGTCAGTAATATAATAATAAGTCTCTTCTGCTCATTAAGGCTGCATTTATTTGATCAAAAATACAGTAAAATAGTGAAATATTATTATAATTTTAAATAACTGTTTTCTATGTGAATATATTGTAAAACATAATTTATTTCTGTGATCAAAGCTGAATTTTCAGCATCATTACTCCAGTCCTTCAGAAATTATTCTAATATGCTGATTTGCTGCTATAAATGTCTTTACTGTCACTTTTGATCAATTCAATGCGTCCTTGATGAATAAAAGTATTAATTTCTTTCAAAAACAAATCTCACTGACCCCAAACTTGTGAACAGCAGCATACTATGGAAGCCCGTTTCCGCCACTGAATAAAAAATAAAAAAAGGTTATTGCGACTTTTTCATCTCACAATTCTGACTTTCTTTTCCACAGAATTGCGTGATATGAATTCACAATTCTGACTTTTTTTCTCAGAATTGCGTGATATAAACTCACAATTCTGACTTTTTCCTCACAATTCTGACTTTTTTTCTCATAATTGCGTGATATAAACTCACAATTCTGACTTTTTCCTCACAATTCTGACTTTTTTTCTCATAATTGCGTGATATAAACTCACAATTCTGACTTTTTCCTCACAATTCTGACTTTTTTTCTCATAATCTGACTTTTTTTCCTCACAATTCTGACTTTTTTTCTCACAATTGCGAGTTTATATCTCACAATTCTGACTTTTTTTCACAGAATTGAGTGTTATAAAGTCAGAATTGTGAGAGAAAAAGTCAGAATTGTGAGTTTATATCACGCAATTATGAGAAAAAAAGTCAGAATTGTGAGGAAAAAGTCAGAATTGTGAGTTTATATCACGCAATTATGAGAAAAAAAGTCAGAATTGTGAGAAAAAAAGTCAGAATTGTGAGATAAAAAGTCGCAATTACCTTTTTTCTTTTTTATTCAGTGGCGGAAACGGGCTTCCATAAAATACAGTATGTAGTATCATGTAAAATACAGTTTAATGATTGGTAAGAAATATTTTGCTTTGGGAATACTTCTGAACCCTGAATGTCAGCTAATGTAATTCCTCGATTGAGCAGCAGGGGGCAGTAAAGTCCAGCGACCTGACGTACCCCCAGAGCACATCGAAAGCACTCTTTGTCGAATCTGTGGACGGGCGCCAGGATCTCAAAGAACTTCAGTATGCTCTGCTCGTCGTTCAGGTTGGCGAACTGCTTAAACGTCTGTTGGATCTGTTTCCTCAGCGTTTTGGCCTGAAACACAGAGAGAAAGAGCAGCGTTACACTTCACACACTGATTACAAACACCAGCAGAGCTCCGCTTAAATCCCATATCAGCAATACTAGATAAAAACACTCATCATATTGTGCAACTGGGTGCTATAAACATCAGCATAGAAATTTATTTAAAACCCAGTATTTTAATTCAAGTGAAGTATTTTTTTGTACTGCACTTTTCACAATACACATCTGGGTTATTATAGCTAATTAAAATTAAAACCTTTAAAAAAATGTGCATTACTTGAAATAAAACAAATATTAACTGAGATAAAATAAAATATACAAAAACGTACATTTATTTTGTCAGCCGGTTGCTAAGGAAGGATTTCTGACTTTTATTTAGTTTAGCAACGTACTAAAATAACAAAAACGGAAATAGAAATGAATAAAAAAATTTAGACATATTTAAAAAAAAAAAAAGACATATGAGGGTTATTATAGTTAAATAAAACTAAAACCATTAAAAATATTTTCATTACTTGAAATAAAATACATTAACTGAAACAAAATAAAATCTACAGGAACTTAAACTTATTTTATGTCAGCCAGTTGCCAAAGAAATATTTCTCACTTGTACTAAAATAACTAAAAATTAATAAAAACTATATAGACATATTAAAAAATATAGAAAAAAACTATAATTAAAACTCAATGAAAAGATCACAGAAAATCAATGATGTTAACATTTATAATATATTAATAATATCGTTATGCCTTAAAGTTATTAGAGATTCATAAATGATGAATAAACTAGATTATAACATGTTCTGATAAATCAGTTATGCATCAGAGTTCGAGCTTTAGCAGTTTGTGCAAGTGCAAAAATGAGTATAAGCACAAATAATAGTGATGCTTTTCTTAGCAAACACAAAACTTTATGACGAAGTATGATCACATGACTTAATAATCCAGAATCTGCCCGGTAATTAGTGCTGACAGGTTCATTACAAGCATCAAATTCAGCTGTCAATCAAATAAGACGCGCTAGAGCGATCAATCTCCATCAGCTTTCTCTCGCTCTCCTCCAAATACACAAACCTGCACACTGCTGATGGATGTGACGAGCTCTGAAAGGCATTCTGGGTATCCTAACAGCATTCCACACACAGATACACACAGATCGTATCAAACATGTTCATCTAGAGACTCAGAAATGTGCCTCTTCTTCCCTTTTGTTATGACACACCACTTCAAATCTTTACTTTTCAGAACAGAGCTGCTGATAACAATTGGGTAAAATGTTCTCTTATTATATGTAACAGAAATGAGTCAGCAATCCACAATCCTTCAGAACACTGATGAAAAATCTAGTTAATAAACCTAGTAATACTAAATATGTTACTAAGACAAAAACGTATTTACAGTAAAAAAAAAATAAAATAAATAAATTTAAAATAAATATGAACAAAAAACATAAATAAAAGATGATGAAAAAATATATATAAATATAAAAATATAAACAATTAAAACAAACAAACAAACAAATAATTAAAGAACAACAACAATAATAAATGATTAAATATATAAACTATGGCATACCCAACTACTTCGATCTCTTTACTGCATAACACTTAAAATATTGTCCAAATAAGTCTGAATATTAATCTCTGTCATCTATTATCTATTCTGGTTTCTCTTCGTTGATTTTAATGGAATATTTCTGCCATCATTTATGTGCCATAATTACAAATCAGCATATTAGAATAATTTCTGAAGGATCATGTGACACTGAAGACTGGAGTAATGATGCTGAAAATTCAGCTTTGATCACCGAAATAAATTATGTTTTAACATATATTCACATAGAAAACAGTTATTTGAAATTGTAATAATATTTCACAATTTTTACTGTATTTTTGATCAAATAAATGCAGCCTTGATGAGCAGAAGAGACTTCTTACACTTTCACTGCATGGAAAACAGCAGCTCATCAAAATGTTTCCTTTTATGCACCAGCAAAAAGAATCATGCAAGTTTTGAATGACATAAAGGTGAGTAACTAATGGCAGGATTGACATGTTTTGGGAGAACTATCCCTTTAATAAGCCCCCTGTGTTTTGAAAACAAACAGTATTGTTATTAAAATGATGAGATGTGAGCTCGACTCAATCAGGGCTGGATTTGATTTCTGCGGTCAGTGACAGATGGCTGCGCTGTTAACTGAACCCCGTTTCTAACTCGATCAAATGAGCTTTGCTCACGCACGGATGCTGGACGCTCTCGAAAATTACATTTTCTGGGAAGCACACAGATTAAATGTTACAATCGGCCTAAATGAACAGCTCTCGAGCAACATAAGCGCACACACACGAGCTCCCAGCCAATGGGACAGAGTGTGAGGCAGTGGAGGGTGGGGCGATTTAACACCTCTGTCCCGCCCACGTGCGCACATGTCTGAGGCTGACCCGCAGGGTCAAAGGACAACCCACTATTTTACTGAGCATCTGTCTGCAGGGTGTGTGGGATTGTCTCAGTCGAGGAACACTATTCTTACAGCAGCTGCACACACACTCACACACACATGACCCTTCCCCTCA